TCATCTCGAAAGATGGCGATGTCATGGACTGGCCCAAACCACGAAAGACGTGCCGGATTTGAAGTCCAAATTGCATCACCTGCAGGTTCGGCGGTTTGTGACCTATTCACCTCGGCGTTCGCTGTTGCAAATGCACGTCTGACTCGAGAGGTGAATAATTCCGGGATAGGTTGTCGCGGTACTGTTGAGGCTGCACCAGCAGAGAACGCCGACGCCCAAGGATCATTATCACCCGGCACAAAGACAAAGGTCGAGTGTTGTAGCAACGCTGGAAAATCGGATAAAACCAGCGCCAATGAGTCGAAGTATTCCTTGTATTCGATACTCCCGGCTCGACCACCTCCACTGATGATAGCTTTCTGCGCAAAATTGCCGATCAAGATAAAGGCTTGTGGGCGTTCAGGAAGAGATAGATCATTGTAGGTTCCGAAGACCTTCTTCAGGGCGTCTAGTGTCTTCATGTTGTCTAGATTGACTTCACTCATGATCGCGACTTTGAGCCTAGTCGTTTCTGGTGCGTCCTGGTCTCCTCGTAGGCATTTTTCCTGGATTCTTCTCATTCGTGCACCCTGGGCACGTTCACTTCCCAGTCCGAGAAAGTCAACCCACCCAAATCCACCACTAGAACTCAGCTGTCCGCTACCGTGGCGGTTACTTGTTCCTAGCGAGATATCCCGTCTCTCACAGGGAGGTCCGCAGATTGATATGCCGACAAACTGACCTCCGATTGCACCCCCGACTCCTGTGTTCCCTCCCAATGCAGCACCTTTTACCATCTCTTCCTCTTCGTAAATGCCATCGACAAGCACAATCATGCCTGGGGCAAACCACGCGCCATCTTCGGGTATCATTCGGGCATGGCTCAAGTCCAATGCTACACTTCCAGTCAAGTCGACCAAGGATAAGTCGCCAGTAGGAGAAATTGCAAGCAAACCTAATAGTAGATGCGAGGTTCCGCTCCTGCCCAGCAAATTTGCGATTGGCGTCAACTTATAGGATTGTCGGTGGGCAAGATTGGACGATGAACGTTGCAGTGAAGGAACACTAGCGACACCCAATGAGCTCTGGAAGGATTCATTACGGAGCAATCGTTGATACACAAGGTTGTATCGATCTCGGAATAGTGCAGTTTTGTAAGCTGGTGATGGAAACAAGGATGGCTTTGACTTCACGGCTTCAAAGTATTTCTTGTCGACGTTATACGTCAAGCGCGGAAGATCAAAGGCGTCAACCACCTTGAGCCAACGTCTTGGGTGAAGTGACAGTTGTGTATCATCTTCCTCGGCAGTCCCTTGTTTTGAGGTATCACCGGCTGTTTCAACCCGTCCATCATCTACACCCAGGGTGGATGCCTTCAAGGAACCATCTTGGGAAGTCGTTTTCCCAACAACAACCCTTCCACCACTCATACTGCCCTCGAGAGTTTGCAATATTGTCTTTAGGGACGCTCCTTTCCCTTCCTCGACAATCACGCCTCCGCCAGCTCTTTTCCATATCTTGGCAACCTCATCCAGGACTCGCTCTGCTAGGCCTTCCTCACGCCACCCTGAGCCACAGTTCTTGCCCACAAACACTGCTAGTGTTTGAAGGGCAGACGATGATATTGTGAGATTATGTTTGCGGGTGAAGGTCCGAAAGGCTATTGGGCGCAGGGTTGATGGAGGGAGTAAGATAGGTAAAATTGAAGTTTTGGTGGGAGGCGCATTTCCTTGGGTATTCGAAATGGACGTGCTGGTGTCCCGAATGCAGGCGAGGACGAAGGAATAGGATCCGCTGTCGCCGTTCTGAAGCGATCAGGATGTCGCGGTGTTGAGTCCATATTGTCTCGAAAAAAACGCGAAGCCTTATGAGATTGGGGTCAGAAAGCTCTAAGTGAAAACCAATAATAGGAAAATAGTGTAATATACCTAGGTAATTCAGAGTAATAAGTGCATAATAAGAGGGGAGAAGGGGAGGAGAGAAGAGAGAGAATCGAAATTCAATTAAATCGAAGACGCGTGACACGCGCGCGGAGCTAAAGCTTCTTCCAATCTCATTTTATCTCTCTCTCTCTCTCTCTCTCTCTCTCTCTTTTCCACTTAACTCGATTCTCCTACTTTAATCTTACTCTTACTTCTTAAGAAGCCTATTTATTTGACTTCCCTAATTTCTTCCTCCACTACTCTTCATCAAAGTCGCAATGACTGATCAATCTCCCGTCTCGACGCAAGAGAAACGAACGCAACTCGATGACTTGATCGCACGCGCTGCGGCAAAAGATGCGACCAAAGACCATGACTCTGCTTCCGAGCTGTACTCCCAAGCTACCGAGCTTCAGGCCGAACTCAACGGCGAATTGTCCCCCGAGAATGCCGATTTGCTCTATGCCTACGGAAAGTCATTGTACAACGTGGCTGTGAGTAAAAGTGATGTCCTTGGCTCTAAGGTAGCCGGCGAGCAGCAGCCGCAATCTGGCGCCGCTTCTTCAACAAATACATCTTCCGCTGCTCCGAAATCCACCAGTGATTCCCTTGTCCAAGACGCGATTGCCAACTCGATGGCGGAAAAGTCGTCTTCCACCAAGCCTGCAGCCAAGGAATCGGAGCCCAAAGAATCTAAGCCATTCTTCCAGTTTACAGGAGATGAGAACTTTGTCGACTCCGAGGACGAGGATGAGGAAGCTGGTGAGCAAGGCGAGGACGAAGAAGAAGACGACGATTTCGCCAATGCCTACGAGGTTTTGGATCTTGCCCGTGTTCTGTACCTCAAGAAGCTAAGTGCTGTAGAGGAAAATGACGGGGGCAAAGGAAAATCGACTGTGGTGTCCTCAGACATAAAGCACATCAAGGAAAGAATCGCAGACACACACGATCTTCAAGCCGAAATTTCGCTGGAAGGTGAGAGATTCAGTGAAGCGGTTACCGACTTGAGAACTGTCCTCGAATTGAGAAACTCGCTTTATCCTCAAGAAGATCCCTCTGTTGCTGAGTGCCATTACAAGCTCTCCCTCGCCCTAGAATTCGCATCAGCCCAACAAGGTGGTGAGGAGGATGGCAACGATAAATCCAAAATTGATGAAGAAATGAGGAAAGAAGCTGCCATACAGATGGAACATGCCATCGCGAGCTGCAAGGTCCGAATGGCCCAGGAGGAGAAGAAACTAGAGGCCGAGAAAGATGAGGATGAGGACAAGGCAACTGCGACAAAGCGAAAGATCGCCAATGTCAAGGAGATCGTCACTGAGATGGAACAAAGGGTAAGTGTGTTTCTTTTTTTTTATTCCCCTCTCTCTTGCCTCTACTTTCTATATATTGCTTGAACTAGTTAATAATGAACTAAATTAGCTTGTCGATCTTCGCCGACCACCTGTCTCAATTGAGCAGAACGACCAAGCCAACGAGGCTATGCTAAAGGGAGTTCTGGGTCAGATCATCGGTCAGTCCGCAACAGATCAGAAAGCTCAGCTTGATGCAGCTAGCAAGGGAGCAACGGATCTGTCTGCCTTTGTCAAACGTAAGCCTGCAAAGCAGCCATCCCAGCAACCTGAAACCGCCTCAAAAAGGCCTGCCGAGGAAGCCGCGGAGAATGGCTCCAAGCGGTCTCGCGTTGATGATGCTTCCTCATGAACAAGGTGTCCCGTGTCCTTTGGCTGAATCGGAACTTCTTTTTCTTCTCTTTTATACGTCCTACCCAGAAATTATCTAAATTACCAGGGTATTAATGAATTCAATGAATCAGATCTCGTGCGAAATGCCGGACTTCCAAAGGGAAAAAAATAGATCATAGATCGCAAGCTCTTGTTGGCTGGTATTAATAGTGCATTAGTATGCAACAGAGAGAGAGAAAAAAAGGCAATGGGAAAAGGCAAGACAACGAAGTTGTTCGAAAGGGTATCATATCACATTATGCAATGACCTCATCCCACGAGATCCATCCCTAGGATTTCCTGCGGCTAAGAGATTCCCCACAACGCAGGTCGACGCTTAATCTCACGGTTTCTTCGACGTGTGGCAAGTCCAGGGCTCCAGATTCCGGCGAACAGGTCCTCACACTCATCTTCATCCTGGCTGTCAAACTCCGTATTTGCTGGGCCAGACTCGATTTCATGTTGATCGGCTTGCATAATCTGATCCACACCAGGCGAAGATTCCCAGCATGAAGAGGCGGCGATTTTCTTGGTTTCGAGAATGAACTTGCCGACCTTGTATCGCTGTGATTCTTCTTCGGCTGCAACATACTTCCAGCCCAAGACACTGTCACAGAACGCGCAGCTAATATCACTGACTGTATGTGCCCCTGTAACAAGTTGCCGAGGGACTGGACGCTGCAATATCGTATTGGGGAGTGAGGCTGTAGGTGAAGACGACGAGCTGACCGACACAGCAGTGGCTACTGGCTCTGCCGACACAAGATAGGCACGGCCATGGCGACCTGTAAACCCCTTGCTAATAATTTGGGAAGTCCAGCAAAGATGTGAGGCACATCCTGCACAGCGCAAGTAGGAAACATGGCCGTCGAGATACTTCTCGGTCTTTGTATTTTGGGGCTGGTCCGTTGGAGAAAGCCCCGCACTATGTTTCGTGGAGAACCCAGTGGGGAGGAGGAATTTAGGGAACTGGATAGTTTTGACGCGCTCCTTAGACATTCTGGTGTTTTAGACAGGAGGCTTCACTCTGAGAGGACCTTAAAAGGCTTCCCAAGGTTGGAAGGGATGTCCACGGGTATGCCCAAGTGAAAGGTGAATTGCACCTGGGCAGGTCTGGAGGTGAGGTCATATATGACTTATCTCTTATCTTTCTTATCCGCACGGGGCCTTTTTCCGTCAAAGCGGGGGAAAGGTGACATTCTCATTAGAACACTACCTAGGTAAATACGAACGCGTAAATGAAAAAATAATGAAGCAATACTCGGTATTCGGAATAAAAGGACAGTTGCCTTGCGTAACAGAGCATCAAGACATAAAACAAGATCCATAACTCCAATTCAAACGACTTAAACCGCATCATACTATGATGCTATCGCTAGACTTCGGCAACCAAGAAAAGCCATTTATTACTAAGGCAAGGCCCTGGTTCACTGTCTGATACCCAGGGTGCCAAGGTGGTGAGGTTGAAACCACACCATCCTAGACTTCGCACGAGCTCCATTTCATCCGTGCGCTGGGAGCGACTGACACAGGCGACTATTTGTGAACACCCGAAGGTGGCGAGATCGGCAAGTTCGAACAGAGCGATCAAGCTGAGGCAAGAGTCAGCAGGTGAATCAGACACATATGAAGGACAGCCACTAAACAGAAGAGGAAAGTCTTGACTTGTCCAAGGAAACACAAGGGGCGTACATACCCTGACTTAAGGCCGTGTTCAAGTGCACGGTCCTCGAAGAAGACGAACAAGGTCCGCTCTTTATTGTGTTCAGTCACAAATCCGCGGTAGATCGCATCGCTGGAGTAATCCCACACTTCTATCCATCTCTGGATTCGATCATGCTGGTGCTCGATTTGGTTTGACTGGATATTTTGGAACGCATCCATCCCCAGTGACTCCTGCCCCACGAGACTCCTCTCACCCAGGAATGTCGTGGACAGTTTGTCACAGAAGAGTCTCTCACACTCTTCCGGGATGTTATGCGTCGCCTCCCTCTTGTACTCTGGCCAGTTGTTTCCAGGCCAGGTTCGTTCCGCGCGGGAATCGAGGATGTCGTGGGGAGGACTTGAACGAGACGATTTAGTCCCCGAAGGGACCTCAGGCATACCACTGTACCCCTATATTTGGAGATTAGATGCCGAGAAACATGGATGCGATTTTGGGTTACGAGATACTTACCGGCGCCCAGGGTAGTGCAGTAGTGGAAGCCGTGGACCTTGGAGGTCGACGGCTCGACACTGTAGCAAGTAGCGAGAACGGTGCTCTGGGAGTCTTGGTCGAGAAACCGCTGCATTTGATTGCAATTACTACTGTGGTTACTCATATATTTCGCCATGATGGTTGATGTTTCAGATGATTGTTCTGGGAGGGTTTGGATGAACGGTGTAGGTCAAGATATCGAACTAGATCGAGGTTTGGATTTTAAATTAAGTAGAGAAGACACGATGAAGGCGGCTGATGTTTTGGTGAGGAAAATCAAGTTGTCTGATGTTGAATAGCGGAAGTGGATGGGGGGTGGACGATGTGGAAGTAGAGACGGTGTGACTCGGGGGGGTCAGCATTTTCCCCCAGTCACCTGACCGTCTCTCACTCTATACTTTTGGAATAAGGAATTATTATTTCAATATTCCTCACTTTTCGTTAATTCAGTTTTATTATTGTTGTTATTATTATTGGATGTCATGAGTCTACTTTCTCTTCATGTCTTAATTTCAACCGGTTGTTGAGTCTATAAAGAGGGTGCTACCAAAGCCAAGTATAAGACAAGTGATCGGAGTATTAATGCCCAACGGTAAAATTTATATTAATTGCACAGACGAAGGGTATTTAGCCACACGATACTCAGTATTAATGCGTAAGCCCTCCCAAAGTACTTGGGGGAAGCCGGAATGATTAAGGGTTGAAGTATTCTTATTGCGGCTATGGTAGTAGTACACATTCTGAAGGTAAAGAAACCTCTCAGGATGACATGAGAAAGAGGCAAAAAAAAAAAAATTTGAAAATGAAAATGAAAGAATAAGTACGAAAATAAAAGCCGCTCTAAATAATATGCGTATACACAGTGTACCAGGAAAAACGTAATGCAAATCCATAGAAGCCATAACGAGCACTTGTCTATTCAAAGCTCCCTGTAATCGCTAGGCCGAACTCGTCGGTTTCTAGCCTGATGACGTTGCGGATTCACGGGTTGACGGAAATATGGTGAATCTTCTTCCCGGGAGTATGGTGTGCTGAAAGCTGTCCGCTGCTGATTCGAGAAATTGTTCATCCCAGCGCTTGGTCCTTGGAACCCATTCTGGGGCATAGGGAACATCATTGAAGGGTCCCCGTTGAACATATTGGGAAATCCGTTGGGCATGCCACCATTGCTTTGATCGAACATACCAGCTTGAAGAGGATTGAAAGGCATGTTCATGGGATTCCACCCAGGACCCATGCCACTGGGAAAGCCATTGGCAGACGCCATCGCCATGGGGTTCATGAACCCCATGGCTTCATTGCCGAAGCCAGGGGCCGAGAAAGGCATCATAGGCATGCCTTGCATTGGTCCAAAGCCGTTGAAGGGCATATCCTGGTTATTAAAATTTGGAGTGGCAGCAGGCGCACCGTCTTGGACGCTATTGGCCTGGGTCGGAACGTCGGAATGACCATCATCTGTCTTCTGTTTCTTTGGCACGTTACCCAGCTCGGAGTTTACAGTTTCACTCCGGCTGCTAGGCTCGTCCTCAGCGGATCTTTTCCTGGATTGTGTGGGCGCGGTCTCTTGAACTTGATTGAGCGGGCTCTGCTCTTTGCTGGCGGAAGACTCTTTCGGCTCGGTTTCGGCGACTTCGGGGACAGATGGTACATCCGGGCCTGCGGGGATCTTTTCTTTCTCTCTCTTGGCTTCAGCCCTGTCGGCTTCATATACCTTAATTTTTGAGGCGGATTCATCATCGGGAGTGAGGTTATCAAGTAAGACTCCCTCTGTAGCACATCCCGGGCAAACGAAGTCACTTTCAATCAAGGCATTTGAAATACAATCATTGCAATATGTCCTCTGGCAACACGGTGTCTTTGTTGGCTCTAAAAACATCCTCTTGTCAATTGGGCACTCCAGACCTCGAGCTTGCAATGCTTTGCTCTCCTCGGCAGCTGCTGCTTCAGCAGCTGCCGCCGCCGATGCCTTCGCCTTTTCTTGGTACAATTCCCAGGCTGCCTTGTCCGGCTTTGCAATGACAAAGTCGCCGTCAGCATTCACCATGACCCCTGTATTCCTTGAATCTTCAGTGGAGCCATCGGGGGCCAGGGATTCTGGTTTCTCGACTTTGGTTTGAAGTGAACGTGGTATGCCAGTTGATCGTTTGACTCGATATTTGCCGTCGAATTTGGGGTCGTTATTCGTAGGGCATGCTTGGATCCAGTGGCCTGCGTGCAAAGGTTAGCGGTGTGTGGGTGTGGTGATTCAGCCAGAGGTGTTTTACCTTTTTCCCGACAACGATAGCAAAGATACCCTGGAGGTGGAGGGTGGTCAGGTACATTGACGGGTTTCCCTCTGCCACGACCGAACGGTACGGGTGTTGCGCTAAATTAGATTAATATCTCCATAATCCAAAAAGAATCCGGTCAGGGTGCTCTTACTTTGCCATTTCTTGTTGTTGTTCCTGCCATTGGCTAGCTTGCAGGTTAAACAGAGCGTTGATCTTCTCTTCTTCTGTTTGGGCATTATTGAGTTCGAGGACGTTGTTGTTCACGGATTGTCCCGTTCCGGGTGTTACTCGGCTCATCGACGGTTCGTTGCGAGGGGCACTGCGAGCATTGACTGGCATCTTGCCAGAGACGTAGCGAGCAGCACCGCCCTTACCAGGGCGCGCTGCAGGCAATCTGCGGGCGATCACGGAAGTCGATCGAGGGATTATGGTGGTGTCATCGTCGTATTCTATTGGATGTCAGAAAAGTTTTTCCTATTGATCAGGAGCAAATGGAGCAGAATAACATACCCTCTCTGGTGTCCTCATTGTAGATTGACAGCTCAAAGTCACTCCCGTCGCCCAATCTACTCTGGCTGATAATCTCTCTTTTGAGCTCAAAGACCGAAATACCAGTGCCATCGAAGGTGACCCTTGAGGGTTCTTTCTGGGACTTGAATTTGAAATGAACGGACGATGACATTGTATTCAATTTGGGAGGGGTGATGCAACAAAGATGTCTGTGGGTTGTATTAAGACCCAGATTTAGGGGCACCGCCGCCGTGTACAGTGAGCAATAGGGGATAATAAAGAGGGAAGAAGAAGGAAAAAAAAAACTCGTGAGAGGGGATGAAACTGGTGTATCACCAGTCACAAGAAAGAAAGGTTGGGCAACAGATTTGATCTGTTCAAATCACAGAGAAAGCACGAGATAGTTTTTTTTTTAGATGAAAGCAGGGATCAATAGACCACTGAGACAATGGAATGTGTGAATGAATCTTTTTGAATGCTGAATGGTGAGTGTTCAGGTCACTGCATACAAATGGAGATCAAAGAATTGATGAATACGATGATCGAACACTGGCGCTGAATAAAAAAAGGTGTATTCAAGAGAGATTTGATGGTCTGCCCCGTCCTTCAGATTCGCAGAGCCACCCTAGCACCCTGACCTGTGTCGGACCTGTCTGGAGATCCCTGCGAGACACCAAATCCAGTTATAGAGAGACCTGTTAGGAATAAGCAAATTCACTGTCAAACGACCGAGGCCGGTGTCGCAGTTGTTAGGTAATGTAGTTTGGTGATCGCGGCGCGGAGTATCCTCAAAAGGTGAAATAAAGGAACCCAATTCAGCAAGAAAGAACTTGGGAGGAATAATGGGTGTGTGAGAATGGTGAGGATGGGATTTTCGTGCGCAGGTATTGAGGAGAGGAGAAGGTGAAGTGGCAAGTGAGGAAAAGTCAGATGATCTGGATGCGATTTCACCGCCTTCTAGACCGCTTTTGATGAATAATGATAATTATTCCAAGGTTACCACGTGACCATCTGGGCCCAAGCTGAGGAGGACAAAAATAGTCGGCCGCTTATACAGCCGTAATCTTCTAAGGTTATCCGATAGTCTTTCTACAAGTATTTTAATGATCCTTTTTTTAACACGCCTGGTTAAATAGATGCTTCCCTTCTCAGTTTGTTGGGTAGACAGCAGAAAAGGGCCAAAAAAAAAGCTTGTGTGAAAGCAAGCGACTTAAGGAAGTTATCCATGGATATCTTATTTGTTTAGTCATTGTTATCTACACATCCAGGTGCATATGTTGCCTAATATGATCTGAGATGCTAAGACCCCTCAACTATCCAGGGTATGGAATCCATTATTTCAAACATATTTGGACATTTGAACTGTATAGTATCTTGTTGACGGGTTCGGCCCTCATGATCTCTATTCTCTATTCTTGCATAAAACCATAAAATTGCGAAAGATGCCTATGTGAAAATATCACACCATTGATGCAGCTGAGCCTTTAAATCTCAGCCTCAAATTGGCGGACCAGGAATCCCTCCGTTTGAAGGTGATCTTTCACTTGAGACACGGTATATTCACCGCGGTGGAACTAGGACATGGTCAGAGACTCTGCTATGAGAAAAAAATACTTAGAAAGGATACAAACTTACCATTCCTGCTCCCAATGCTGCATCAGTGGTGGTTTTGTTGAAGACCTCGGCAAAGTGCGCAGGTACACCAGCCCCACTTGAAGCGATGACTGGAATCTTAATCGAAGCTTTGACGTCTCTGATCAATTCCAGATCAAATCCAGCATTGCTTCCATCTTTATCAATGCAATTCAGGAGGATTTCACCAGCTCCCATGGCCTCAACAGCCTGCACAAGTTGCCGCACATCGATATCGCGCGTTTCTCTGCCACCTTTGACGGTGCATTGGTACCAGCAGAAGCTTTGCCCATTTGAGTTTGGGAACTGGGTCTTAATTGTGTGGTGGGGAGTATCTTCAGGCTTATCCACATATACCCGCTTGGGGTCGACGCTCACCACAACGGCCTGCTTTCCATAGGCTTTTGATATCGTCTCGATTGCGGTTTGGCCACTCAACTTCTCACCGGCGCGGTAATAGTCCTCAGCGGCAAAGACAGAATCAGAGCCAACACTGACTTTATCGGCTCCAGACTTGAAATACATTGTTGCCACATCCAGAGCAGGAACCCGCGTGCCATCAGTGTCGACGGTGTCTTTGATTCCTCCGCCAATGGTCAATGGTACAAAGACTGTCTCCGATGTTCGTCGCAAAATTTCAAGCATGGGTGTATCAGCAATGGGGCAGTTTCGGAAAGAGGTGATGTTCAAAAATGTCACCTCATCTGCTCCTTGTTCGTAATATTTCTTAGCCATGTCCACAGGCTTACCGAGATTACGAACGCTGCCCCCGGCATCTGCTCCACTCTTCTCTCGGACATCATATTGGTCACCCTTGGTAACGACCAAGTCACCAGAGTCGTTTGTCCGAACATCAAGGCAAGCAATAACGCGACGAGTGAGCCCATTTTCTTTGCCAGTGACGAGGTCCTGTGAGAGCGACTGGAATTGATCGCCGTTCAAGAATGCGCGTATGGCCCGTAGCCCAGCGACGCCACTCTTTTCCGGGTGAAACTGGGCGCCAAAGATGTTACCCCGACTAATAGCACCGATAAACTCTTCCTCGCCATATGTGGCTGTAGCCACAGACCAGCCGTCACTTTCCAATACACCCGGGTTGTAGGGGGCCGCATAGGAGTGGACGTAATAATACTTGCTGGTCGGCCTCAGACCATAAAAGCTTTCATTTTTGTTGCCATCGGACCCAGTGTTGATTGCAGAATTCCATCCAATGTGTGGTACGCTCTTCGAGGTGTCGTTGAATTTTTGAATGCGCATAGGAATCACGCCAAGCCCTGGAACGTTGCTGTCCTCCTCTGAGCCCTGGAAAAGAGCTTGAAGACCAACACAGATCCCCATAAATGGCTTCCCCGCTTCGATATGCTGCCGGATGGGCTCCAAAAATCCTCCTTTGTCCAGTTGGGAGAGACAATGGCCAAAATGGCCAACGCCGGGGAGTATCAGTTTCTAAAATTCGATTGTTAGCGATGGCATGATCGTGAGCCAGCCATGGCAAAATTGGTCTGGGGTATTTGACTAACATCAGCATTTTTCACATCCTCCGGGGTTTTCACCCATTCGACATCATATCCGACTTGGTTAATCGCATTGACCAAGGAACGGATGTTTCCCGCAACATAGTCCAGCAAGTGGACGGTAGGCATGGCTGTAGAAACTTAGGCCAAAAGCACAATGGTGATTCCAGCTGAAAGTGACCAAGGTATTTGGACTATCGAGGTTGAGCTACCAACAAGGTAAAGAATCCAGCCATGAAGCCTGTCGAGGGGTTCCTTAAGGACCCCGCCGAAATTCGCACGCTGAGTCATATCTTTTTTTTTCTGCCAGACAAAATGCGGAGAAATAGGTACAACGGGGTACTTCTCTAAAGAGTATAGTTACTATGTAATTTAAGTTCTTATTGTACTCAATAAGTACCTGTGAGTCATATGTAGAATACACGACCTTTCCTCCTACTAGAACGTCTCGGATTCACTCATGATGACTCGGTTGTTTTCCTTAGACCAGTAATAGCCCTAGAAATTCCTCCCCTACTATTGCAATGTTATCTGGATGAGTTGCTTTGTACAATAACTTTGGCATAGCCCTGGGGTGGTGGAAATGTTTGCCGATGCAGGTGGATATTCCTCTTCGCTCAGGTTTGGTTGCCCCGCGCCTTCACTATCGTATAGTAGGTTATTGGTTTTCAGTTGTGGCTGGTCTCACAGGTGACTGGAGATAGATGAGTCCATTCGTAGGCTGCAATCTTATAGTCAGTTATGCATAAACGAGGTGAGGATGTATGAGGAAGATCAGTTACCGGGTGGAATTGCCGTAGCCGTACGCCTGCTTCTTGTAAGATAGCTGCACTCTGTACATTCGAATTAGATTAACTAGGAGCCCCATAACGGACAAGCATTGACTTACGTCATTATCCATGTTGTACCCTTGAGAGTAAACGACCTCCGAAATTCCAACTTGGGCTATCTTGACAGTGCATGTCAAGCAAGGACATCTGCAACCCACAGTAAGATTTCCTCGTTGGCATAGTTTATTGAAGAATGAAGTGGACTTACGTATCGCAATAAAGGATCGCCCCCTCTCGAATCCGCTCTCGGCCTGCTTCCAGTAATGCGTTTTCTTCGGCGTGAAGGCAGAGACAGGTCGAGAGACCGGCTCCTCCCCATCCCCGCGATTGCACCGTGGACCTATAATGGTTTCTAGTGAGCCAAATGAACAACACGGCCATTGGGTCATTCAGTTCTGGCCTGAATCGTACATCCACCTTGGTTGCAGTTCTGGAGATGCCGTGGTGTCCCATTATATCCTGTGCTGATTACACGACTCTCTCGAACGAGCACACATCCCACTCTTCTTTTCATGCAGTTGCTTCTTTGGGCGGCAAGAGAGGCCAGCTGCATGAAATACTGGTCCCAGTTTGGCCTCAACCGTTGTTCGTCCGCCAGGTCGAGGGTTCGCAAAGCCGAATGTAGCTCTTCAAGAGACGACGAGGAGTTGAATAGGCGCAGTTGAGCTTTGTCGGTCAAGTACACTCGTCCAATATCCTTGTCGTAAAGATTATGGTCGTTCCACATAACGAACTTTTCAAGCTCAGGCGGATCGAGTTGTCTTCTCCAACATCTGTTTTGAAAGATAAAGAAAAACTGTTAGGTTTCAGTTTTGAACCACATGTAATCACCACGAACCTGTCGGCAAATCGTTTCCATCGGAGGCTAACAGGTGCATCGACGCTCACGAGAAGGAAGAAGGGACGCAAGAGAAATCGATCTAGGGTAGTGGCATCTGCAATGTCTGTGGTAACCCAACGTTCTTGCCATCTTTTGGTCGCAAAGTCGAGTAGGGACTCGGCATCTTGGAATGTAAGCTCTGACGACTTGGGGTCTTCTTTCTTTCTGATCTCCGACGCTTGAAGCCGCAGGTCATCCTCCGACTCGGTGATGTAAGATTGGGATTTGCCGGCAAGTTCAAGAAGCTGGAACCCTTGCTCAATCAGGTACTCAGCAATCGCATGTTTGCCAGCGCAAATGCCTTTTGACGTATATCCTCGTTAGTTTATCCGGTGTGAGATGAGAGATTGGTTTGCGACAATTATCTGCTGACCTCCACATAAGCCGATGAGCATTTTCAGGTGTTTAATAATTGTATAGTTGGAAAAGGGAGAATAAAAGAAAGAAGAGAAGAAGTGGGGCAGAGTAAATGGAAAGTCGCGACGCGCCCTTATCGGGCTGGTGTTATCGGCCTGACATGTTGCCCAGTTGGATATTGGGTAGCCCCTGGAGGTATAAGTACATAGATAGATAAACTACATACAAGTACATGGCTACAAATATAACTATCAGACATGTACAAGGACGTGTGTTCGGCGCCTACAGCGCTGGACTGTGGGATGGACCTTGCGCCACTCATCATGTCTTGTCATGTGGGGAGCGAGGGGAGTTGCGCGAGGAGCTTCGAGGAGCTTTTGTTGACTCAACAATGATTTTTCGCGCATCTCCATGATGTTCGGCATTCTAACTGGAGCTGATTCGCAAGCTCCGCGTTCTGTTATTCCGCCGTGGTAGGACACCATCGGGATCGTCACGGACCCCTCAGCGTTGACAGATCCAGTTGGCGATACCGTTGTTGTGGCGGCATAACAGGGTTATATAGAGGCACCGGTCTCCATAGGCTACAATAGGTAAGGGTGGTATGGATGAGGCGTGTCTTCTCATTAGTGTGTGGCTTCTGTCGTTCAGAATGGGGAACGGAAAAGGGTAAGAGGTATCAAATGTCGCGGTTCAAGTGTTAAGAGTCTCAGTTGACTTCACTTTTCCAAGGCTTAAGCATGAGCTAGGACCTAAAGCTCTTGGTATTGAAATAAATAAGTGCAGAGAGGTCAGAGGTAGAGAGGTCAGGCGTAAATGCGGATAGATAAGCCTTCCCAAGGTCACCCCCGCCCCTCCCGTGACATCAGACCGTTTCACCTCCTTCCAACATCTTTTGACTCTTTTACACCTTCTACCTCCCCTCTTAGCTATCACGTCCAGATTCCCAAGTCTGCATTATTCGGGTTCATAATCAAGAGTCTTCTTCTCTTTCTTCCTTTTCCTCCAGGATGCAGTACGCACCGTTTGCTTCCGACATCGAATTACCTTTCTATACTTCACTGGCTTCCCATAAGATCAATCACGACAAACTAGATGACTCTGCCCGCCCCGTCCTGGGACTATACGAAATCCGTCCTTCTGATCCTGAGGCCGCATCATGTCGAATCCAAATTCATGGGAACGCCCTCACCAGTAGCGAGTAAGATAAAACGAGACGTTTCTAAAAGCCCTTCTAACAGCGACTTAGAGCCCCGGCTGGCTATTACAGAGCAGAGGGCATGATCAAAAATGTCAATACCGTTGAAGAATATCGAAACATGGATAGACCCCATCTGCTTCACCAAGCTGGACAAATGGTAGGGATAACCATGACTGGTTGCCTCGGAGAGTGATATATATACTAATCAAAGACTCCAAGATATGGGATGCTATCCACGATGGAACAATACTTTCATGTCCCTCCCTACTCTGCAGCTTTGTGATTGTATCTTTTGCGGACCTCAAAAAATTCAAGTTCCACTACTGGTTTGCATTTCCGGCAATCCACTCAGATCCTCAATGGGTCCCCGTGCAACCAACAGATCAAGTATCCCAGCCACACCAGGATCATGATATTGACAATTTGAAGGGAACTCATTTATCTCCACATGAGAGCACTGCTTTAGTGGAAGCGGTGCAAACATGGTCATATATTGTGGATCATCGACAACGAGGTTTCTTTTTAGCTCGAAAATCCAGACTGCGTCCCGATGCATCCTCAGACGATCCCCAGACAAAGAGCACGCAACAAGACACATCAAATAGCAACTGGCAGATAGCATCGCTTTCCGAATATGAAAATGGGTTTTTCAAGAATGTCGCTGCTGAAGACTGTTATTTCTGTTTCTCAGACCCATCAAATTATGAACAGGCCCCAGGGTGGATGTTACGAAACCTGCTCGTTCTGATCAAGCAGCGATGGGGCATCGAACGGGTGCAATTGATACGCTATCGCGACGTGCACGCGAGGCGTGATCAGGGGCGCAGTACAGTAATTCGGCTGGAGTCAAGTTCAAAACAAGAGCCTCAGACCCCGAAATCACTGCAAAGCCAAGAGTCGTTGCCGCTGCCAAAGGTAACCGGCTGGGAACGTAACTCGACAGGGAGATTGGCCGGGAGAATTGTCAATCTTACAGAGTACATGGATCCCAAGAGGTATGGCGTTAATTCGGAGATATCCAAAGTGAAGACTTGATCAAGGAAGCTTATTTCCCTCCTAAAGATTAGCAGATCAGTCCGTCGATCTCAACCTCAAACTTATCAAATGGCGGATCAGCCCGGCGCTCGATCTTGAGAAAATAAAGCACACGAAATGCCTCTTGCTAGGAGCTGGTACATTGGGTAGCTACGTCTCCCGGAATCTGCTGGTATGTGGACGTCAACTTCCGCGCTCGAAAACAACTTGTTCTAATCACCGACTATATAGGGCTGGGGCGTGAAGAAGATCACTTTCGTCGACAATGGGACCGTTTCATTTTCTAACCCTGTTCGACAGCCACTATTCAATTTTCAAGATTGCTTGAACGGTGGCGCCCAAAAAGCACATCGAGCATCCGAAGCCCTAACACAAATTTACCCAGGAGTAGAGACTACAGGTCATGTGCTTTCGGTACCCATGGCAGGCCATCCTATTGTGGACGAACAGGTGACAAGGGCCGATTTTGATCGTCTCCAAACACTGATTGATGGACATGATGCCATCTTCCTCCTCATGGATACCCGAGAATCACGATGGTTACCCACAGTGATGGGGAAGGCGGCAGGGAAAATCGTGATGAATGCAGCTCTAGGGTTCGATTCCTTCGTGGTGATGCGCCATGGTATCACGGAGGATGAAAAACCAGCTGAGCTTGGGTGCTATTTCTGCAACGATGTAGTAGCACCAGCTAATGTAAGATTATCCCAAGGAGGGATCTGCTTTATACAGAACTGACTGCGGGATAGTCTACCAAAGATCAAACTCTCGACCAGCAGTGTACAGTGACCCGCCCTGGAGTGGCTCCTATAGCCTCTGCACTTTTGGTGGAGCTTTTCGTGTCACTCCTTCAGCACCCCCAAGGCGCTGGCGCACCGGCCCCCATGGCCCGCAATACCGAGCGTGATGATCATCCCTTAGGCATTGTGCCCCATCAAATACGAGGATTTCTCGCCAATTTCGACAACTTGTCCGTCACCGGCAAAAGTTATCCGAGCTGCAGTGCATGCTCGGACAAGGTTGTCAGTGCATACCGCGAGCAAGGATGGGACTTTGTGCGAAGAGCCTTGAATGAACATGGCTATGTTGAAGAATTGAGTGGACTAAAAGAGGTCAGTCAGAGCCTATAAAACAGCCCAATCCCAAACTGACACATAGGAAGGTCCATGAGAAGGCGGAAGAAGCGCTAGCCGATATTGACTGGGATGAGGCATCTGACAATGAGGAGATCGAGATCCTTTAGACAGACGACATGGTTCGGCCCTCTACTCTGTGACCTGCCGGCATGTAAGTCCGAAATAGCTTTGATCTCACGATTTTCTCTCCAAGCCAACGAAAAAGGCCTCCTTGGATTCCTGCCAATTGCCTTAGTCGGGGAGTGTGTATCAATTGGATAAGGGAAATCATACACTGCGAGATGATTCGGGTTTTAGGCGATGAACCCTTTTGAATAATTCTTTCAGCTGCTGCTCCAGTTCTTTGTCTTCGGCGCCTTGGTAGAATTTGCAGACAAAATGACCGCCTGCCTTCAAAACATCCGAACTGAATCGTAGAGCCGCGTGGCAGAGATCCTGCGTGGAAAGTTAGCAGGGGTTTCACATTTACCAATGGAGTAATGATTTTTCATACCATGCTTCCAGCGTGATCTCTGAAACTGACACCGCTGGTGTTCATCATCCTGTTATAAGGAGCACTTAGACTTCGTTTCCAGAAACCGGAGGTCTGGAACCAGGGAGCAGACATATCGCTAAGAACCACATCTACCGTTCTTTCAAGTATTTTATCGCCCCTCATATCCCTCTTCTCGGTCTCCGTGGTGCGTTCAGTATCCGAATTCGGCTCCAATGGACTGACACTGGAATCGTCCAGAAAGCCGGACTGGCGCGGCCTGCCTCTATCTGGATTGCGGAGAAAGTCTCGGATGTACGTTTGAATCTCGGGTGCGAGGAAATTCCCTTGGATTGTAGACACTCCTTTTGGTGGTTGGGCTGGGATGATATCGACACCGAGGACACGACCATGCGGCTGGGTACGGCTTGCAGCAACCTTTTCTGGCAGTTAATTGCGGTCCATCTGACAGCAACGGGGAGAGGGATAAGTAAAAGGCTAAAGAAGAATGATCGACACACCTGTGACCATGACCCTGGAGCATAACCCTAAATGTTTGGAATTAAACAATCGATCCATGTTTAGGTTGAACGACTAGCATACCAAGTCAACAACTGTCTGCCCGCCCTTGAAGATTCGATATTTCTCATCAATCTAACCGCAGGCACCAGTGTGTCAGATCAAGCCAGGGAAATAGAGCAATGCCGGTGCTGGATTACCTGCAGCAATTTGAAAGCAGCGCGACTTTTCAGCCCTTGGACAGCTGCCTCTCTAGTGAACTGATCCTTTTGCTGCCGGGCTTGCCAGCGTTTGGATGATGCATGTCTTGCTTGGATAGTTACTTGCTTATAGCAGGCATTCCGCCAAAATCGAATTGGATGTAAAGCGAACATAATACGAATTGAATAATATCAGGGGAGATACTTGGAGGCCCTTAGAGAGAGAAGCTTTTTATTTTCTGCCGGCAAAACAGAAAGCACCGCTGAACCCTCAAAGTCGGACAGCTCTTATCATCCATGGATGTTCTCTACGTGACTACATGCCTATACATGTACATTTATATATTTAGTCCACCGTGTAGAGTCTGTGCCAATAAAAATGAATTGCCGGATCTTTTGATAGATCCTATTAGAATTGTCTGCGGTCTTTTTTCAAGGGAGAAAATCCCATGGGTGCTGCCCCCAAGCCCGAGCGCCCGTGGTAGACTACTAGGTTGTGTTTTACTCCCCAGCGTTGAAGTTCGTCCATTTCCTATTGCAAGTTTTCTCCCAAATTTCTTGTTGGGCAGAAGCTCTTCTTCCTCCTCATCCTCGAACAAACTTCGATCCCGCTGACCACCAAGTTTGCGTTTTTTCGGCTTGGCCTGTTCATGCTCAAACTGCTCATGTAATTCATCGGTCTCAGTGGGTGGCACTCTGCGATCGAACCGATGCATTGGTTTCTTGACCTCATTTTCCGGCGGTGATACTGGCATTGTGTTATCACGTGCTTTTGGTTTGGTGAATTTTGTGATTGGAATGCGGTCTTCTGTTGGAGATAGTTGGCGCCGGAGAGCAGAACCGATACGCTTTGGTTCGCCAAAGGTGCTCGGCTTGCCGAGTAGACCATGAGGAGTGTCGACATCTCCAAGAATATCGTCCTCGTCTGCAACTGAGCTCATTGGCGAATCGGAAGGTGCCCCTGTGCGGTTCAAGAATGGAGTGATGGAAAACGCCGACTTATCACCAGGCATGGCCGAATCCTTCTTCAATTTCTCTTGTACACGCACAGCCCCAGGGGTCGCAATCGTCACGCCGGCATGGCCACTCGGGCCAGGGCGCTGAAGCGGGACTGTTCGAGAACTGGATTCGGAGTTATTTACTGCCTGTGATTTGAGGCTGCGCCCCTGCTGAATTTCAATCTGGGCTTCCTGGAGCTTGTCCTTGGTTGACCGTAATTGCTGTTTGAGCGAATCAATCTTTCCTTCAAACGTCGCCCGCTGATTAGCCCATGCTGAGTTCTGATTGTGGTTGTCCCGTTCCTGCTGCTGTTTGGCTCGTAACTCTCCCGCTAGCTCACTCCGTAACTCTTCAATTCGAGCAGAAAGCTGGGTGATCTCTGTCATTTGCTGTGATCCCTTGGCTTGAGTACGTTCATGGGCATGTTTTTCATCGCCGAGTTGAAGCTCCAGAGAGTTTATCTGCCGTTCCATGTCATGTTTCTCAGCAATGATGGCCTGATATGATGCATTTTGCGCTCTGAACCGCTCCAGCTCTGACTGCAGAGTTGAAAGATCTCTGGAGAGACGAAGTTTCTCTGCAAGGACAGTATTGTAACTGGTCGAATTATTCTTCTGGGCCGACAGTTCTTCCTGCTACTGTCAACATAATGGACTATGCACATAGCCACCAGATTGAGTTAAGACTTACTTTAAGTCGGTTAATCTCACTCGAGGATGCCTGTGCTTGAAGTTCCAAATGATCGATTTCCTGGCAAGCCTCCTGAAGTTGAGCACATGCCTCTGAATCAGCACTTGTGAATCCCGAAAGATGCGCATTTGCTTCGTCCAACTGCGACCGGAGAGTTTCGTTCTCGAATTTCAAGAGCAACAGCTCCATGCGTCGTACGCGATCCTTCTCGCCATCTAGGAGACGACCAGAATCTGAAAGAGTCTTCTCATACTCTTTCTCCAGACGCATAGTCCTCATGGACATCTCAAACTGCATGGTTCATTTAGCATCTTGAGCATATCCCATCAACCCAGAGAAGCCACATACATCTGAGGCGGATGCTTCTTCGGCCATTGCCATGATGAGAGAAAGACAGGAGCCCTTCGATATAAAAAATAGAAAGAAAAGGCTATGGATTAAATAATGTCTGTCCAGAAGGAAAGGAATACCTAGGTAAGATATGTGGTGTTTATATCCAATGCTTGTTCGAAGTATGATATAAATCGTCACGAAGACGCGCCGGTGTTTTGGCGGGACCCTGAAGATATTAAGTAAGCCGATGTGCCCGATTACGTTGATAGTGGACACCTGGACTTTATCACCCAACGTGTTCAAACGTCTCCAATTACAACCGATTGATAGTTCAATCAATTGAAGTTTATAACTAACCTCCTTGAAGCTGTCAAGCTTCTTGTCATGCTAAAATGAAGCTTTGGGCGGGCCTTTTTCTCCTTCTCTCGTTCGTGTCTGGTGTCTTGTCTGCGAGCTCAACACAGGACAAGTTTGCAACATACCAATCCCTGTCTCGTTCGGGGCCTGTTGATCTAGACAGTGCATCATATGAAGACCTCACCTCTACACCTCGAGATTACTATGCTGCGGTTATTCTGACTGCCACGGATCCTCGCTTTGGCTGCCTCCTGTGCCGCGACTTCGAATCTGAATGGAACCTGATCGCCCGAAGCTGGACCAAGGGCACCAAGCCTGATGAGCTCAAGGTTGTTTTTGGAACACTTGACTTTGATAATGGCAAGGCAGTTTTCCAAAAGGTAGGGCATTTTTACTTGAGACTGAGCTATGACATGCGACTAACCTAAGCAGCTCATGCTTCAAACTGCACCCGTACTCCTCGTCTTCCCTCCTACCGTTGGTCCCTTTGCCAAGGTTGAAGGAAACCCCCTTCGATTTGATTTCACTGGGTATGTTTTTCTATCAAGGCTCTTGCGCCCGGCCCCTATCTCAACTAACATGTCAATCCCAAATAGCCCGATCTCAGCCGACCAGGTCTACTCTTGGATTGGACGTCATTTGCCCGAAGGCCCCAAGCCTGAACTAGTTCGACCCATCAACTACATGCGGATAGTATCAGCGACCACAGTTCTGATGGCGGTTGTGACTGCGATTACAGTCCTTTCTCCCTACTTGCTGCCAATTGTCCAGAACCGAAACCTTTGGGCTGCAATTAGCCTCATCGCAATTCTTCTGTTCACAAGTGGTCAAATGTTCAACCATATCCGAAAGGTCCCATATGTTGCTGGTGATGGCAAAGGTGGCATTAGCTATTTTGCCGGTGGATTCCAGAACCAGTTCGGGATGGAAACTCAAGTTGTGGCTGCCATCTGTAAGTGATAATTGCGAGGCTCATTGGTTCTGGGCGTCGTTTCCATGCCGACTTCCTAGGTTAACATTTTGCTCACACAGACGCTGTTCTCTCCTTTGCAACGATCGCACTCGCACTGAAGGTTCCCCGGATGGAAGATGTCAAGGGTCAACAGCTGGCTGTCTTGATCTGGGCAACTGTTCTTTTCGCAACATACAGCTTCCTTCTCAGTGTCTTCAAAACCAAGAATGGTGGCTATCCATTCTATCTGCCTCCGTTCTAGAGCGTTCAAGAGCCTACTTGACCAACAGCCTGAAAACAGCACCTGGAAACATTGATTTTACTAGCGATCATTGACATCCCAGTGGCTAGATCTCCCTAGGGCTTCCTGTACATGATGACCAACAGAAGTTGACATCCATGGATGGATCAGGGCCACTTGGAGGAAACACGGTGCTTTGCGGATTTTGACCCATAGTGCCTCTTTCCCTTTGCCATGAAAAATTTGCATACCAAAGATCACAGAAGGTTCTTTTAGTTCTTTTAGAAGGAATTTCACAATTAGCCTGTAGCTACATATGTATACTTAACCATACCTAGCCAAGCAACTGGAAGGAGGGTCTAAGTGGAATTCAAAGTAGATTAAAGTAGATTATATATATTTAGATATACGGTATTCCTTTTATATAGATATTCTATGAATTGAAAGTAGTTTTTGATTTTTGTTTGATTTCACATGGTAGATATCTCCCATTCTTCAAAATGCCCAAGTAAGAAAGAAAGGCCCCACCAAGGGTGTCCACATCCTTTACCCTTTACAACACCTTCCCATATGAACCCTACACCATACACATCCAGAGGTCAGCTTGAAGTCTTGTTGGTTTTCATGGTTTGAGCATACTTCATTGCACTGTCATAGCTGGGTCCAATTGCGGACATGGCAAAACCTGACGATGCCCGTATGGGCAAAATTCTGGCGTCGTCAGCCACAGGCACAAGCTTTTTGATCTTGATTCAATTAGCGTCCAGGATCTTTACCTTTGCCTCAAACCAATTGATCTTACGTACCCTTTCACCGGTCGTGCTGGGAATAGCTGCACAACTGGAGCTCTTCCAGGTTTCGATCCTGTATTTCTCGAGGGAGAGTATTCGGATGGCTATCCAACGGCAGCCTATTCCATCTACGCCTGACGATAGACAGTCTTCCTTTGAATCAGACACAGTAGCGGCAGATTCGCATTCCGTGGCATCTCAAGCAGTGGTGAACGTGTCCTACTTGAGCCTCGCCCTTGGAATTCCTTCCAGTCTCATGTTCACTATGCTCTACCAGCGCTTTGTCCCAGAGGAAGCATCAAACACCGCCTTCTTTTATCACAGTGTGCTCTTGATCGGGGCTGCATCTCTCCTGGAACTCAGCACAGAGCCCTTTTTCTCGGTAGTGCAGCAACATATGCTTTATGAAAAACGCGCTGCCGTTGAAATGCCAGCGGCATTTCTGAGAAGTGCGGTGACATCCTTCGCCTTTATATATGCTTCTCAGGTCAACTACGACCTCGGTGTGCTACCATTTGCTCTTGGTCACCTCAGTTACTCGCTGGCCCTCGTTTGTGGCTACTCGCTGGCCCTACCCAGAGGGGCCAATACAACCCGGTTCTCTTTCTTACTGACACGTATACAAACCAGGTAAGACCTACCTTATCTCGTTCAGGCTACAGCACGAAGAACAACACGGTAACCATTTATAGGGACCCCTCCAACTACTTTCTGGGACGGTTCTCACGGCAGTTAACGTCGCTTGCTGCGAATGTCTTTTTCCAATCTCTAGTGAAGCATTTGCTCACGCAGGGCGACACTATGATGCTCGCAGCCCTGTCAGGGCTAGAAGACCAGGGCATATATTCTCTCGCGTCAAACTACGGCGGGCTCATCGCACGGATTATCTTCCAACCGCTGGAGGAGAGCAGTCGGAACTTATTCTCAGCCTTGCTGAGCCCCGACGAGGATGGGAAGCTGAAGAATATCCAGGTCCGCACTGCCAGAGATCACCTCGTAGATATTCTGCGCGCATACCAGTTGTTGTCAGTCCTGATATTTCCATTGGGCCCAATGATGGTCCCTCAATTGTTGCATATATTGGGAGGCCGTCAGTGGGCTTCCCCTAAAATCGGAGACCTGCTCTCCGTCTATTGCTACTACATTCCATTTTTGGCATTAAATGGGATCACCGAAGCATTCGTGTCATCTGCAGCAAGTTCGCAACAGATACGGAAGCAAACGGCGTGGATGGGTGTCTTCTCTGCCTGTTATGCCTTGGCGGCCTATATGTTCCTAGAAGTAGGAAACTTGGGTGCGTATGGATTGGTCCTGGCCAACATTGTGAATATGGCGGTTCGAACCTTTTGGAGTTACAGTTTTATCAAATCGTACATCCATCGGAACGGATGTAGCCTGTACACGAGTGAAGTGGCCATTCGACCTGCTAGCTTCATTCTGTGTGCTTTGGCGAGCTTCTTCTTGGGCCGCGGATTTGGCCTAAAATTGGGAATCATCAAAGCATGCGCATTCAGTGGCAGCTATGCTCTCCTTATGTGAGTGCTGATCTAATCTGATCTTGATTTGGTCTCAACGCCTAACCGAAAAAAAACAATAGAGTCTATACAGAAAGGGGATACTTGATGGGTCAACTGACAAGGCTTCGGCAAATGTTATCCTCCAGATCCTCCAGCAAAGATATCAAGTCGGAATGAACCCAATTAATCGTCAAATGTGATCTTTGTCGCTGTCTTGTCCATATCAACGTCCTTATAAAAGGCACCGTACACATCGTGCTGCTTCTTCTTGACTGTTGTGCCAAACTTCAACAGATCCTCTGGCACATCTTGCTTAGCTGCCTTGAGAACATTGATCAATCTATTCATAATTAGCATTGCCCTGACGATTTCTATCAAGCATATTAGAAATAGGAATAACATACCCGCCGGACAGTCCCTTGTCATTTTCAGTAAACATAGTGATGGCAAGGCCGTCAGCCCCAGCACGTCCAGTTCTTCCAATCCTGTGCACGTAGTCCTCAACGGTGAGAGGGAAGGTGACGTTAATCACCATTTTCACGTTCGGGATATCAAGCCCACGCGCCGCGACATCGGTTGCGATAAGAACGGTAGCATTGCCTTTCTTGAAAGCATCAAGATTTCGGAATCTCTCTGATTGGTTCAAATCACCGTGAATACCGGCGACTGCGAATCCCTTGTTTCTGATGAGATTCTCAATGCGCATCGCCTCCTTCTTGTAGAGGCAGAAAACCAGGACTTTCTCGGGAGATTTTTGGCCTCGCTGGGATTTAGTGAGCAGTTGCACGAGTCGGCCCTCCTTTTCTCGGCCATCAACAACCTCGACGATTTGCTTGATCCTTGTGTTGGCTCGGGGATCCGCAGATGGGTCTCCGCCAATGGTAACAGTTACAGGGGTCTTCATGAAGGTTGCCGCGAGCTCTCGGACTGACCGCGGCCATGTTGCCGTAAACATAACAGTCTGTCTCCTGGAGACGGGCATTGGCTTGACGATGTCCTTGATATCCTGCTCAAATCCTTTGTCAAGCATGCGATCCGCCTCATCCAGGACGAGATAGTGGACCTTTCCAAGATCAATCGAACCATCATTCTGGAGATCCTTGAGGCGGCCAGGGGTGGCAACCACAATGGCGGCCTTTTGAAGAGCACGACGCTGTTCATCTTTACCCACGCCTCCGTAAATGCATGTCACCTGAGTCTTCTCGTGGTGGCCGAATTTAACAAGCTGGTCATAAATCTGCATTGCAAGCTCTCGCGTGGGTGAAATAATCACTGCCTTGGGCTGACAAGGCTTGCTTGACTTGGAGTCAATCAATTTCTTGAGACACGGCAAGCCAAAACCGAGGGTCTTGCCACTTCCAGTCTCTGCGATACCAATCACATCACGGCCAGCAAAAAGAAGCGGCCAGGTAGTGGATTGAATCGGTGTTGGCGCAGAGAAAGACTTCAATTGGGTGTACAGATCAACATCACATTTAGGCAGGTGATCAAAGGAGAGGATTGGGCGGAATTGAGAGGCGTCGGGTGAGGAGGGATCAGAGATTTTAATGACATTCTCGGTCAAGAAACTGTCGATTTCTGACTGAGGGATTTCAGATAGAGCAGACGCATCAGAATAAGACGCTGTCTTCTCATCTCCATTTTCCTGCTTATCTTTAGAAGCTTTTGCGGGCTTCTCGGACTTGGACTTTTTCTTCGGTCGCTGCTCAGTTGGCTCAAGATGGCTTCGCTTACCCATGATGAGTTGTCTAGAAAGAAGATATAACAAAATATTATCGTAATCAAAAGATGAAAAGCACGAGACTGAATCCTCTGAATTGTTCCAGCAGAAAAAACAGGAAGAGGAAAAAAAAAGAGAGAAAGCGGTAGTGTATTGCCATTGATTTCCGCCTTTTCTGTCTTACCGCCTCGTAACTTTATCCATATAGCCCTGGAGTATCTACGGACTACATATATACATATACATTCATTGCCTTGCCCAGGTGAAGTGATAGCGCAGATTGCAGACTGCTCGTGAGTGAGAGGACTGTAGCGAAAAATTACTGCTTATATCCTTTGTAAGAGTACTAAATAGGAAAGAACGAACAAGTGTCCAAGGTGAGAAGACCGTAACTGAGACATCTGGATTGATCATGGCGTAACTTGAGTAGCATACTAGTAAAAGTACACATGAACATGAATAAAAAGAGCTCTGAGCACACGTGGAGATAGTAAAGCTCGTACAAAGCTGGGCGAAAATATTTCCTCACTTTGCCTGTATTTACTCAATGCTGTAGGAATCAATGATATTGGCAAGGCGAGCGGCTTCATCCGAGTAATTGATTGCCTGGGAGGATGAGACCTGATATCGCACACTGGATGGCACAATTAGCATGAGATTCACATCATTAAGATTATCGTTATTCCATCATTCTTACCGCTGCTGATCGCCGAAATTGTCCACATTGGCTTTGCACCTGAAGCTCCAGGTCTGGCAGTTGGCCCCCTGGAAGACTTCACCAAAAGCACTAGGGTCGTCTTCGCGGAGTTGCATTAGTTCATCGGCAGGTTTGCCCATGATGTTTCTCCCAGTCTCGTCAAAACAGCTGAGCCAAAGCTGGCCAGTATGGTCACTGACACTAATAGGCATGACGTAGCGGTACTCCGGCTTGGGGTGGGTCTTGTCGCACTTTTCGCACCGCCACTGTCCTGGATCAAGCTCCGTTACCTTCTTGTTGCAGTTCTCAGAAAGGCACGCAGGATAGCACCAGGTGGAATCCTGCTTGATGTAGGTCACGGTTGCCTTCAGAGAGAAGTAACCAGGAGTCTCAGACATGCCAAGCTGCTCTTCTCGAACTTGCGCAACGGTTTTGAAACGATCCATTTTGGCCCCGGAGTTGGTCGCATTTGACAATGAAGCATGGGATGCAAAGTTCTCCGACCTGCCTTGAGCATCATACCAACCTCTAAGTCGGTGAGCCTCCCCAATATCAGGGTCAACAGTCATTGAGCCCGAACTCAGAAGACTCAGACTTCTTCCGCCAAAGTCAGAAACCTTGACTCCCTTGAATGCCACAACTGACTCGGGTGCCACACTAAAATTGTTTGCAGTTGCACCCCAAATTGTCAAGCGGACAGAAAATCCTGTGTTATCGACCAGCGTAAGCTCACGTTTGTCATAAGGTTTGCCGGTGCTTTTTGATGTAATCTGCGATGTCTCCCCAACATCCTTCAGCACGCCAATGACATCAATGGTTGTGTCTTTTTCAACAGTCTGCAAATCAGCAACAGTGGTGAAATTGAATCGAATCTGAGGGACATCATTTTGCTCCTCGGCCTGTCATAAAATGTGAGCGACGCATCTGGTTTATGAAGAAAGAATTGTTACCTTCTCAACAATGGTATCTCTCTCAAATGTAAGTTCATAATCGTTGTTGAGATTCGTGAACTGTTTCTTGGCAATTTGGACCCGACAGGGACTCGAAATGTAGTAAACACTGCCCTCCTGGAAGAGTTCGTAGAGCATGTCACATTGTTCGTTGAAACCGGTTGCACGGATTTCACCACTGTCGTCCAGTAAATTCACACTGAACAGCTTACCTTCACCGTTCTTGTTGTGCCATGTTTTGATGTTGGACTTGCTCGTGCATCGCGCTTTCATCGTCCATTTGTTGGAATACGGAGAGATGGCTTCAATCGGATAGATTGTGGCATGGGCAGAAGAAGTAGACATAGGGGCAGACATTGGCTGGGCTCGCCGGTTTTGCTGAGCATGTGCACCTTCCATCTTGGAGCCGTAAAACCCGTTGCCGGATATTGTTGTTGGTTGACCAACTTCCCCTTCCTCGGTTTTGGCTTCAAGTGGTTTTGGTTCACCGATTTTGTCAGCCTCGCCCAGTTCCTTTAGAACTTCAAGGTCCAAGATGATGAGGATCCTATGATAATTAGCACAATCAAATTGCAAAGAATTCCCTCACATACTTCTTGCCCTTGACGGAGTTTGATTGAAATGACTTGAGTCGCACAAAAGAGCCCTTCCGGAGAGACCCATCTGTCACCACTGAATTGGCCTCTTCGAACGGTCAGTAAGCCCCGAGGTGTTACAAAAAGCCCCGAGAGGAAACATACGAGTAGCAAGCATGGTTTGAACATAGTTTTCAATATCACTGAAAACAGCTCGGTAACGTTCTGGTTGGTTCGGCTGAGCTGGCAATGCCTTGATCTGAACACATTGAACAATCGGCTCTCGTACTTGGGGTTTGGTTTCGTCAAAGATAGCACTGTTGAACATAGATTAACATATGTACTGCCAAATTTATGTATCGAATGGATAGAAACCTTAGAGCCCCAATGGTGACCTGGGATGCTGCCTCGGAAGCCATGATATGATGACTTCAGATCTCAATAATTGAGACAGTCGAGAAAGAAGTCTTGGGAAAATAAAAAGAGGCAGAAGCAGAAGGAGAAGAAGAAGAAGAAGAAGCAAAGCAAAGCAAAGCAAAGAGGACTTAACAGAGCAAGTCCAAATCAAGTTGCAAAGTGATAGGACAAGGAGGAACGCGTGTTGAGAAAAATAACGCGTTAAGTGGCACGCCCCCACCACATGACTTAATGCCTCAGGACAATATTGATAACAGCACGTGCAGGCGGTGAGGAAGGAGCAACCCCACGCAATCGTAGCTTTGGCTTGATCTGCAGTATCTGATATTCTTCTTCCAATGGAATACTGTCATACCTTCTGAAGTCTCCTTTAATAGCAAAAAGTCTCTATCGACACTTCGTTGAATCTCCGAGATTTCTCTCCGGATATGGCATCTTGTGTCCATACCGATGCCGCGGGTTTGTGACATCACCTTGATAACCGAAGGACAAATCGAGCTAATGGACAACACACATTTATAGATCTGAATCCACCGGGACCTGCCCAAGCCGTCTATCGAGAGGATTGCACTCAGTGCTTTGATTCTATTGTATGCCAGCCACCTTGATCCCTATACTACTCCACATCTGATCTTACTCTGACCTTGCAAGGACGATGATGCCGGTCTAAATGTCTGTCTCCATTGCTTCAACGGTGGATGTGCTGGAAACAGGGACCATGCCCTGCTTCATTACAAGAGATTTGGCCATTCACTGGCTTTGAATATTCGAAGGACCCCCAAGAAAATACAGGTACAGCCTAGCCTCTAAACATTTCCTGATCTTGTTACCAAAGATTCTCACACCTCTGGTTTATAGCGAGACGAGCCCCCGCCAAAGATTTCCAAGCTTTCCATCGCAGCCGAAACAGAAGAGGATAGGTATGACATTGCTACGTCAGTGGTGTGCTATACATGTTCTCGTGACGATGTGGACAAAACCAGTGGCAAACTTCCTGCTGTCATCGAAGGTGTTATGACCGCAATGACTTTCTCAGCAAAGGAAGAAGTTAAAGCTTGGGAGCAAGAGTTTGTTCCTTGTGAGCATACATTCTGTCTGGTTCAACAGGACAACACGCAAGCCGTGTCGACAGGTATTGATTCCCTGCAATACTCAACTGCAGCCCGTGCTAACTAAACTGCAGATTCAAACCATTGCTCAGAGTGTGACTTGGGGGAGAACCTCTGGCTGTGCCTAGAATGTGGAAACAAGGGTTGTGGGCGAAGTCAATTCGGTGGAAGCAAGGGAAATTCACATGGGCTTACTCACGCAAACTCAACATCACATGCTGTGGCTGTCAAGCTCGGCTCCATCACAGCAGAAGGCTCCGCTGATGTCTATTGCTACAAGTGCAACGAAGAAAGAGTAGACCCAGAACTAGCGAACCACCTTGCGCACTGGGGAATCTACTTGGCTGGACGTGAGAAGACAGAAAAGAGTCTAATGGAGATGCAGGTCGAGCATAATCTCAAATGGGAATTTTCCATGACGACCGAGGATGGCCGGGAACTGACCCCGGTCTTTGGGCCTGCTTTCACAGGCCTGGCGAATCTTGGAAACAGCTGCTATCTCTCCAGCATCATGCAATGCATATTTTCTGTGGCTGGATTTCGTGAGCGATACTATCAGCTGTCAGAAGAACCACCACTATGCCAAGCACCAGCGCAGGATCTCGAGACACAATTGCAAAAGCTTGCCGACGGTCTGCTCTCAGGACGGTACTCTCAACCTGATTCTCGCCTTCTGTCCGCAGACAACTCAGAAGTCGCTCATCAGAAAGGTTTATCACCAGCAATGTTCAAATATCTTATTGGCCAAGGTCATGAAGAGTTCGCGACCATGAGACAGCAGGATGCTTTTGAGTTCCTTCTTCATCTATTCAAATCAGTCAGCCTATCGAAACACACCAGTCCGCAGGTTAACCCGGTACAGGACTTTCGCTTCCAAGTTGAGCAGCGTCTTCAGTGTCTGCATTGCAAGAAAGTCCGCTATAAAGTGGATGAGCAAGATAACATTTCGGTTGCTGTTCCCGCACGTCCTACTACCACTTCTGACGGAACAGGAAAGGAATACGAACCTGTGAATTTGTCAGAGTGTCTAGACATCTTTACTTCGGCGGAGGTCGTTGAGCTTACATGTCCTGCTTGTGGCAGCCAAAGTGGCTTTTCCAAGCAGTCATCTTTCAAAACATTGCCTCGGGAATTGGTGGTCAATGCTCGTCGGTTTGAGCTCGTCAACTGGGTTCCTACAAAGTTGGATATCCCTGTGCTGGTCGACGATAAGCCACTAGATTTCAGCTCTTACCTTGCTCGTGAGCATGACCCTGGTGAGGAGCAACTTCCGGATATTGAAGAATCCACCACATTTGTCCCGAATCCGGAAGCTCTCGACCAACTCATGGGCATGGGGTTCCCTGCTGTGAGGTGCGAGAAAGCTTTGCATGCCACTGGTAACTTGGACGCGGAAGCTGCCATGAATTGGCTGTTTGCCCACATGGAAGATCCAGACATCGATGAACCGCTGGCCCTCGAGCGAGGTGGCACCTCTAGTTCTAGAGAGCAAGACGCAACAAAAATTGCGCAACTAGGAGATATGGGTATTGAGCCGTCTCGTGCCCAGCGAGCGTTGGCCGCGACCGACGGAGACGTTAACAGGGCACTGGATTGGGTTTTCACTCACCCGGATGATGTGGTGGAAAGGGAAGACCCGGGTGTCGACGACCACAACGCACAATCTCCCGGTGGCCCAGTTGGGCTCACCAGCTTACCTGCTCGTTATGAATTAAGGTCGATTGTATGCCACAAAGGCACATCTGTCCATGCAGGGTGAGTGGCTTGATATATCTCCGTTCTCACTTCCTTGGGTTAGACTAACATATGATAGGCATTATGTTGCCGTGATTCGCAAACCCTTGTCAGGTCAAAGTGGCTTGTCATGGGTGATGTTCAATGATGAAAAAGTTGTCCAGTTCGAAGATATCGAAGCGATGAAGAAAAGCGCATATCTTTACTTCTTCACAAGGGTCTAGTGGTGTTCTAGGCTCTGTAGGTGTGTACACCCCCCGCTGCACTTATGTTGTTCTATCAAGATATTCATGATGGAAGAGGATAAAATAGATATCTATGTCTTATTCGTCTCTACTCTGCATACTTCAAATACTAAGACTAAGGCTAAGAGCCTAATTAAGGCTTAGGAATATTGGCAGAGAATGGAATCTTGGTTCTTTTTCCCGGAAGTTAACTAAAATGTACCATCTCCAATAGGAATGACAAGATAATGTGAATATATAGGTGTATTCCTTTTATGGGTAAGAGAGGCTGAAAAAGAGATTGAGATTCCACCCAGAGCTATGGACAATAACACAAGAACTCCAGACTCCCTAGGGGAGAATATTCCGAAATAATCCATGCATATAAGATCACCAGGTCTGTACACAATAAGAGTCGACGAGATACCTTGCCCCCACTCCCCACTTCAAATGTCGACGTTGAATTTGCCAATTTTCAACGGGGAGGACTTTCCATAGGAAACAGTAGGAAACGACTCATGGTGGGCCTAGACGCTATGTTTGAATAATGACGCCTTTGCGGCCCATCGCTTCTTCAATATGGAACCCAAAGACGAGCCGGTAGAGGTCACGGAGCCAGGAGTACTGGCCGCTTTGCAGCATTGCCTGGCATGCATGCGCGACATCAATGGCACCTACCCGGGCTTGTAGACCAACGCTTCTGAACGTTGGGTCAAACGCCACGACCTTTCTATAATTCTTCAATAACGACGTCTGCCACGCCGCAGAGCCAAATGCGTCTGAGGGAAGTGATTTCACAAAGGATGAGAGATTCTGCTTGCCACCCCGTTGATAGCCGCTAATGATGGCAGCTTTGGTGATCAGGATCTTTAGTCGTGTGAGGTTCGGGTCTTCCGAGATAGTGGTCACGGTGTTGGCCGAGGATGCTGTGTGACCGGATGATCGGGACTGCTCTGAGATACTGGATGCATTGGATGACCACTTAGTATGAGGGTTATTATGCCCGTTCCCATAACCCAACACAAGTATATTGGGAATCGGAGCGTCGTCGGGTGATGCTGTTGCAGTATCCTCGAATATGGTGGTCGGAGTCTCGGGGTTGCCGAGTTGGCTCATTGGGTCGTCACCGAAACCCAGCTCCGACTGCTGCGATGTTTGATGGAATGCCTGCGAGAACGTGGTTTGGCTCGGCCGAGGTGTTCCCCGATCCGAGTTGCGCAAATTATGGAGGGTCCAGCCCTCGCGGAAGAGATCGCAAAGTTCCCAGCAGGCTTGAACCGCAGACCCTAACAACTCTTCATCCAGCGGTTTCTCCTCCCTCTTGCTCTGGCGAATGCTGAACAGCATCTCGGCTAATGTCCAGCATGCACTCAGCAAAGAGTCTGTCTCCGTGATGCGGGTGCGCTGCTTCATAAGACGGTGGCACAAGGTAATATAAAAATCCAAGGTTCTTTCCCGGAAGGCATCGGGAAGGTTCCGATCGTGAGTGTTGTAAAGGTGATTATTCAATTCAAAACTCACTCGTAAGACTGAGTCGGATAGGTCAGTGTCGCGAATACGGGCCTCAAATAGGGCCTGGCAGAAATCTCGACAGAGATCAAGGGTCGGATGGATCTGCGATGCGTAATCGTCGTCGCGTGTGTCATAAAGCTTCTGGCAGAGTCTCCAACATGACCGCCATGCATCCTCTTGCATATCATCATTGTGGGATTTGAGGAGACGTTCTCGATGGATATAACTAAGATTGGCCAGCGTATTGCATAGTGTCCAGCATTCGTCGAGAGCAGCTCTTAGGGCATTGATTTCGGCCTCTTTACTGGTTAGTCCTGGGTTAAATTAGTCTCGTATGCTAGAGCTTGAATGTATTTTCGTTCATGGTTATACCTTCCGGGATATCTTGAAGAAGGGTCAGGGTCAGCAAGGGCTATCATGAATCAGAGCATGGCCTGAAAGAGAAATCGACTATAGTACCTTGTAGGCTACTCGAACGAGTGCGTCTCTCGAATTCTTCAAACTCATGCCTTGTTTGTGCACGTGGCGTCGCTCGCTCGGTACAATCGTTGTCGAGACTGAGGGATGTTGTCAACGGAGGCGGCGATATTGGACTATTGCCGAACTGGACGAATAAAATTCATCAGCACCATTCGTAAATGGGCGAGGGCTATCATGAGATACCTTTCTCGGCCTTGTGGGTACGCTTATTATATCAGTTTGCTCATCTGAACTGACTGATGGCGACTGTGACTCCTCTGTGCCCTCGAGAGTGGATTGCATTGGCGCCTAGGTATATTTACCATTAGCCAACGCGGGAAAAGTCCTAATGGGATTCATACAAAATCACCAAATCCTGGCGGAGCATGTATCACCGACTGCGGAGCTTCATCGTCGTCCGATCTTGCGCTGTTCCCCACATGATTTGGGTACTCGGTTTGAATCTATATAGTGTGAGCCCGGCTGAAATGCATATCCTGCAGATCATATATACTGTAAGCTCTGGTTGAGAAGGAACAGCTCCTTGTATAGGTCTGGGAGAGCTATCATCTCCATTTGATTCGTCGCAATGATCACAGTCATCGCAATCCTCCTCATTGGGCGAGGCCCCTGATAAGCTGTTTATCGGCTCCGTAGCGGAGAAGTGGGAACTCTCATTCCCATCGAGGGCGCCATCAAGAGACCTGTTTCTGCATCAGCGATATTCTTAAGAGAATCCAGTAACTGTCTTACATTGAAACCGATCGTGGAGAATAGTAAGCCGGACTTGCGGAGTTGACGCGGTAAGGTAGGACAGATAGCGGCGACTTGACGGCCATGGCCGAATGGTATATTGGGATATAAGAAGACAAAGCCCAAGTGAAAAGGGAGAAAATAAAGGATTGGTTGGGGGGGTAGCAACACCTGAGGGAGCTGAGCCCGGTCCCTTATCGCTTACCTAGCGCATACTACACGTGATTATTTCTTCAATACATCTTCATACTGGGTGGTTAGGATGAGAGGAGGCTATATTGGATATGGCGTTGAATGTGGAGTCCCAATTTTACATTGGCAATGTCCCAATATACAAATTGAGGGTCAATTGCATGAAGAAAGGCCTTGAGAAAAGCATACAATCGTGTACAGTGAAGCAATTGTATAGCTATTATTGTAATAGATCTTCGCTCTCTGATTGGCTAGGATCGATGGAAGCGCTTTTGTCCTGGATTCGGTATAGTCCGATGCAGCCGCCCCTCGATATGAGTGGCCGATGGAGTTCGAGATGCATGCTCATCACGGCGCCTATTTGACTCGGGTACGAATTCAGGAATTTGGGAAGGAAAGTTAGAATCAGGAAACTTTCCATTCTTTCGTTCAGGTAGTAGAACCCAACAGCGACTTGTGAGACTATAAATTCAATGGGTATACTGGATCCACAGGTCTACAAGGGGTCTTGAGCTGTTGGGATCGTCGGAGGCGTTCAAGCGGGGAAATTCGCCCGTTTATATCGGACTATACTGTCGGGAACAACTCATCCAATGTATACATATGTACTCTGTGCGGAGTATTTGTACATATGCTGTACATCATTGTTTTCTAACGGCAAATCAAGCTTATTGCCAGGAACATGGCAATGCCCCTAATGTCTGAGTATGCCAGAGAACCAATTCATCACCCTGTAAGTCTGATAGCAACTATACTTCTAGCCAACAGATGGCCATGACGCATGGGAGAAATCGGCCACAACAGCCCAAGGTTCCTCGAAGAGGAACAAAGAACTAAGTTGTGGCGTTTGGGTAAAACAAGGTAGTGCTAGGCTACAAAAATAGGGCTTTCCCCAATGTTGGTTGGTCAGACAGGAAGCCGCTGAGCTGTAAAGATTCATTGAAGATAATAATAACCAAAACGCAAATCCTCCCTTGACGCCATATGTGTAGAGTGCAACGCCGCCCTAAATGCTAATACCGGAAGAAACACCTGTGCGGAGCTTTGTCCCATCTCCGGTCGAACCTGGGTCACCCGTCGCATCTCAAACCACTTCACTGTTTTCCAGAGAAACCCAAAACTGGCAGCATTTGAATGTGGATACCACGCAAGACCAATGACCACGTCATTAAGCTTGAGATGCTGGTGTTTCTTCTTTTGCAAACTTCAATATGCTGCCAATGTCTTCTGGCCGACAGAAGAAGACAGTAGGCCGGCCTAACATGACCCGGTAGCAGGGGAGAACGGGGTATTTGTGTGATGTTTTCTTTTTTGGACAGGAAAGCCTCGGCTTGAGTCGATGACAGGTTGACCCGCGTGAGGAATTGATTGGCTTATACTTGAGCCTTGGAGCGATCTTTCTCGGCGGAATTGTAACTGTAATAAATGAGCAACAATCAATAAAATCCAAAAATGACAAGAGAAATACCGGAGAAGTTTCTCGATCAGATCAACGTGGGTCATGATCATTCGCCGGCAGCAGTAGCGTCTGCAGCCAAGCTGGTCCATAGCATCGCTTCAAAAGAGTCTATTAGCCAGAGACAGACGTGATAGATTGGAGGCTGCCATACCCATCTGGAACACCATCGTCCAAGAGTTGAAGGTAACGTTCCCAAAGGTCACCGACAACCTACAATCGGGAGTTTAGCAAAGGATCATACATATCACGGACAGAAAACAGCTGCTTACCTTGCCACAGGAGAAACAACGGACGGGGATAATCATTTTCAGCGATTCGATTTAGGAAATGATTCGGAGAATAAGAAATGAATAAACCCAAGGTCGATTGGAGGTGAATGATATCGTTTTGAGCCAGACTTTTTTTTTTCCCGCGAAGGTCGAAGGTCGAAGGTCGATCTAACCCAATCAGGAGAACTGCGCTTTTCTGCCAAAAACCCCCGCCTTATTTTTCCTGGGAAAAAAAAGTAGACGCATCTGCCATGAATATCCCCAGACTCTCAAGTCTTTACAACTGTGGCTCAATTCATAAAAGCTATGATTGTCTGAGTCGCACCAACTTAAATTTGAACAGTTCCCACCCCTTT